AGGTTCTGGATTATTAAAAATTCTCGGCTGGGCGCAGTAGCTCACGCCTATAATCCCAGCATTTTGGGAGGCCGAGGCAGGCAGATCACCTGAGGTCGGGAGTTTGAGACCAGCCTGACCAACATGGAGAAACCCCGTCTCTACTAAAAATACAAAATTAGTTGGGCATGGTGGTGCACGCCTGCAATCCCAGCTACTCAGGAGGCTGAGGCAGGAGAATTGTTTGAACCCGGGAGGCAGAGGATGCGGTGAGCCAAGATCATGCGACTGCACTCCAGCCTGGGCAACAAAAGCAAAACTCCATCTCACACACACAAAAAAAAAAAAAAAAAAATTCTCTCTCTCAGTTGCAACACATATATGTGCACAGATGTACACACATATGCACAAGCATATAGGATACTTTGCTGGACGTAGGCCTATGATCAGCAGCCCAGCACCAAGATAAACAATAGTGTGAAAAAATATCCTAGGTCTCTGTTAATAATTGAAGCTAGTGCTACCATAATTTTACACCAAAAATGCCCTATCAAGAAAAAGAAAAGTCTGGGTACAGTGGCTCATGCCTGTAATTCCAGGACTTTGGGAGAGGCCAAGCAGGGAGGATTGCTTGAGCCCAGGAGTTCGAGATCAGCCTGGGCAACATAGTGAGACCTTGTTTCTACACAATAATTTTAATTAAAAAAAAATTAGCCAGGCATGGTGGCATGTGCCAGTAGTCCCAGCTACTCAGGAGGCTGAGGTGGGAGGATTGCTTGAGCCTAGGAGGTTGAGGCTGCAGTGAGCTGTGACCACGCCACAGCACTCCAGCCTGGGCAACAGAGTAAGACTGTGTCTCAAAAGAAAAGAAAAGAAAATACTTTGGGGAAATATATTCTATGCCCAAACAGCATCTTTTTATAACAGTCATTAAGGGAGTAAATGTACACAGGCAGTAGGCATGAACTATGGTCACAAAAAGCTCTGCAAGATAAAAGATCACCTTCAGCAGCTAAGCTATGGACCCTTTGCCTAGTCAGCGACTGGATCCAGCCTCATGGCTGGGCTGACATTGCAGCTTCAGAGCTACTCTAAGCTACTCATAACCTTGGCCCAAATTGTGGGTTCTCTGAGCAAGGACAGGGTGGTGAGCATAGCAAGAGGGCAGGATGCATGCATTGCAGGGTTTTTTGGAACAGGGATGAAATTAACCCAGTCGGAGCTGGCCTATCCAGTGGTTGCACCTGCAGGTCTAAGACAGGAGCTACAGAGGCAGCTATTTCCTGAAACTTGACAAGTGGGGAGCAAAAGAGAGTCTGTGACTCCTTGAGGATGAGAGCATCTCCTTCCTACTCCTCCCCTCTTGGAGGGTTTGTGCTGGACACTTGAGCAATTCCATCCCAGTAGGTGCAAGTGGAAGCAGTTGTAGCTGTACAATGTCTAGGTGGAAGCTAGAGGATGGGGGATTACTATTTCTCCCACCCACTTTGCCTTGAGCTTGGCTGCCTCTGGGCCCTAGGGGAGCCTGTGCTCCACATATCAAATTACCCTACACTTCCACCCTCAGAGATCCATTTCAATTCACATGGCCTCCCTCCTAAAGCTTTACTAGTTAGTCCACCCAATCGCACTGGTTGCAAGGTTGCTTAGAGTGGGTCTGTCATGTTCTCTTCTCATCTCAACTTCAGTACAGGTCATATGGAGTTCTGGGAAGAATGCCAAGGCACTCTGATATGTTTGTGCTGAAATATTGTGGTAATCAAATATTATGTGAAATAAGTTGGCCATCAGCCAAAGATTGGAGCTCTTGTTAGTTAAACAGAGATTTGGCAGTGCTAATATTGGATGTGATAGTCTTTGCACTTGATGTCGATTACTATGACTTCTAGTTATTTTACATTTTTCTCCAAATAGCACCTAATGATAACCATTAGTTAGACTTTCAGCATTTGAAGAATTAACAGCCTAGATCTGGACTCTAAGGCCCTCGATGTGTAATTCTGTGAAGCACATATTTTCTTTCTTTCTTTTTTAATGTACTGCTTTGTTCGCTAACGCCTCCAGGTATATTTCTCTCCCTGTGAACAAGGACATGCATAGTAGAAGTCACATCTTAAAAATAAGTTTGAGTATAAATCTGTTGATTAAAACTGAAGCACATATTTTCAGCTGATAGGTTCCAAAGTTGATGTGGGCCAGGCACGGTGGCTCATGCCTATAATCCCGGCACTTTGGTAGGCCGAGGCAAGTGGATCCCTTGAGCTTAGGAGTTCGAGACCAGCCTGGGCAACACAGTGAGACCTCACCTCATCTCTACAAAAAAATGAGCCCGGTCACATGCCTGTAATCCTAGCTACTTTGGAGGCTGAGGTGGGAGGGATGCTTGAGCCTGGGAGGTTGAGGCTGCAGTGAGCCTCTGCACTACAGCCTGGGTGACACAAGGACACTTTGTCTCAAACAACAACAACAACAAAACCAAAGGTGTGTGGGAGTGAGCCATTTAGCTAGGGAGTGAGCCTAGCTTGTGGGAACAACTGCCCATCATCTGTTGTTCTCCACTTGTCCTTAAATGTGGAGCAACTCTCTTACAAAAAGTGACCAGAAAAAGAATGCTGGGGATAGAGGAAAAAAAAAAGATAAAGAGCCCAAGAAAATGAATGACCTTAGTGAGAAAACAGAATTTCTAGGCCGGGCGCAGTGGCTCATGCCTGTAATCCCAGAAGTCTGGGAGGCCAAGGCGGGCGGATCACTTGAGGTCATGAATTTGAGACCATCTTGGACCAAAAAAAGAAAAAAAAAAAAAAAAAAAAATCAGGGTGAACTCTGCTCCTTACTCTAAAGTACACAAATTAGCTGGTGTAGTGGCATGCACCTGTAGTCCCAGCGTATCAAGGAGGCTGAGGCAGGAGAATCACTTGAACCCGGGAGTGGACGTTGCAGTGAGTTGATATCATGCACTTGCACTCCAGTCAGGTGACAGTGCGCAAGACTCTGTCTCAAAAAAAGAAAAAGGAAAGAAGAAAAAAGAAAGAAAAACAGAAATTCTGAATACATTAAAGGAGTAAAATAACCAAATTTTAGTAGTTTCAAGATCTACTCATAACAGGTTGCCCCATACCACTCTTATACAAAAATAAAAGGCAATTGCAAAGTGTGGTGTTCAGCCAGTACGAAAGAACCGACTTATTTCTGGTATTTATCTATCTTAGGTTCAGAAGGTCACTTGGAAAATATGCAGGTAGCTTTTCCATTGGTCTACAGGGTGAAAAATTTATATGCTATGATTCATGTTTGCAAATTTGGATTATTTAAGGATCTAAGAAAAAAAATTTTTTTTTTTTTTTTTTTTGAGACAGAGTCTCGCTTCTGTTGGCCATGATGTGAGTGCTTTGGTGCGATCTTGGCTCACTGCAAGCATCCGCTCCCAGGGTTCACGCCATTCTCCACCTCAGCCTCCCAAGTAGCTGGGACTACAGGCGCCCACCCAGTCTTGGCTAATTTTTTTTTTGTTTATTTTTAGTAGAGGCGGGGTTCACCATGTTAGGCCAGGAGTGGTCTCGGATTTTCCTGCCTCGGTGATCTCCTGCCTCGGCCTCCCAAGTGCTGGGATTAAGGCATGAGCCACTGTGCCGCCAAAGACATTTCTTGTTTTTTTTTTTTTTTTTTGAGACGAGTCTCGCTGTGCTCCCAGGCATGGAGTGCGTGGCGTGATCTCGGCTCACTGCAGCTCCGGCCTCCGGGTTCACGCCATTCTCGCCGGCCTCAGCTCCCAATGTAGCTGAGACTAACAGGCCCGTCACCACGCCCCGGCTAGTTTTTTTGTATTTTTAGTAGAAGACGGGGGGTTGTCGCCAATGTGTACCAGGATAGTCTCGATCTCCTGACCTCGTGATCCACCCACCTCGGCCTCCCAAAGTGCTGGGATTACAGGCTTGAGCCACCGCGCCCGGCCAGACATTCTTAAAGAAGGAACTGTTATCCCTCATATTTGTTTGATTGGTGCTCAGTGGTTTCCAAAGTGCTTTCATGTGCTCAAGAGATGTTGCTGGCAGCAGTTAAGAGAAGCAGGGGGAGGAACAAGGGGTCAACCAGGCCTGAGTCCTCATTATGGTGCCACTTCTTCTGTGTTGCCTCAGTTAAGTCCCTTATCCTCCCCAAGACTGTGTCTCCACCTGTTTCATGAGGATACAAATGCTACTTGCTCTGCTCACTTCGCAGAGTCCTGGTAATGTCCAAAGAGCTAATGTGAGAAAGTGAAAAGTATAATGAATGGTTCCTGTGGCATTCACTCATTCATTCATTTCACAGATATTACCGCACTCTGCTTGTGCTGTGATTAGCAGATAGAGGGGGCTAAGACCAGTTCCCACTGTTGAGATTAAATGTGTAGGTAGAAGCCAGGCACAGTGGCTCACACCTGTAATCCTAGCACTTTGGGAGGCCAAGATGGGTGGATTACTTGAGCTCAGGAGTTCGAGACCAGCCTGGGCAACATAGTGAGACCCCGTCTCAAAAAAAAAAAAGTCTAGGTAGAGAGATAGGTAAAGGGAATAAAAGAATGTTGCATACAGCTGTGTGGTGCCTGTATGAGCTCAAACTAAACCAAGCACAGCAAAACTACAGAGGAAACAGACCCAACCCACTGCCCACAGCTGGTGGGCAGGCGTTTTTCCTCAGCTATCCCCTCCCTCCCAATTCTGCCCTGGCTCCTGTCTTCTGTAGTCAAAATGAACTCTGCAGCCGTCCTGAGCCAGCCAGCTCCCTTACAGAATTTCCACTGGGTCTCACATAGCTCAGTTTCCCCCCAAGATATGGCCCAATACTCTGGTCTGGCCAGGGGAAAAAAGTAATTACAGCCATCTGCTTACAAAAAACAGGCAGAGAGATAAAAGAAGAGGGGAGAGACACTCTCACAACTAAATCAGAATGACACACTATTTAACCTAATTACCTGCAAAGCCGTATCCAGCCATTAAGGATCCATATTCTGTAATAGAATTTCCTGCTATGGAAATACTCACCCACGCACAGGATGTTGAAGCAGAAGCCCTGGCTGACGGACTTATTCACCAGCTGGTCAGGCAAGCTGTCAAACCCCACATGTCCAGCCAGGGGGACAGTTCGGCAACCTTCACCCTAATTTGGAAGGAATGGGGGAGAAAATGAAAATGTGCTTAAAAGCAGTCTGAGTCTCACTTCTCCATCCAAATGTTCGCCGTGCAAGGAAGTCACACCCGCCCAGGTCCAGTGTGTCATCTCTTCCCTCAGCTACTCCCTGCTCCAAAGCAAAATGGCCCGTCAGCTTGGAAATCACAGATTCTTGGAGACAGGCATCCTCTAGGCTCAATAGTGAATGTCGCCACAGCTTCAGAGAAAATTACAGAGGAGCTTATTAGGGGCAGGAGAGTGGAGTCAGGGGAGGAGAATGCTGGCACCGGAGATTCACTGACTCAGGTTAAATCTCCACTCAGTCATTTACAAGCTGAGTAACTTGCTGAGACTGTTTCCTTCCACATCTGCCATCTGAGATAATATGGCATATCTTAGAGGTGACTGGGAGCCTCAGAAGCGCTAATACATGTAACGAGCTTAGTACATGCAGAAGTGTTCAGTAAGTATTATGAAAAGGGTTTAAAAAGCAATCATTGGGCCGGGTGTGGTGGCTCACACCTGTAATCCCAGCACTTTGGGAGCCCAAGGCGGGTGGATCACTTGAGGTCAGGAGTCCGACACCAGCCTGGCCAACGTGGCGAAACCCTCTCTCTACCAAAAAAACAAAAAGGCCCCGGGCATGGTGGCGGGTGCCTGTAATCCCAGCTACTTGGGAGGCTGAGGCAGGAGAATTGCTTGAACCCTGGAGGTGGAGGTTGCAGTGAGCTGAGATCATGCCATTGCACTCCAGCCTGGGCAACAAAAGCGAAACTCTGTCTCAAAAAAAAAAAAAAAAAAACCAATTATTGACTGGCAAAATGTCTTACACCTGTAATCCCAACACTTTGGGAGGCCAAGGTGGGTGGATCACTTGAGGTGAAGAATTTGAGACCAGCCTGGCCAACACAGTGAGACAACGTCTCTACAAAAAATCAAAAACTAGCTGAGCGTGGTGGCATGTGCCTGTGTAGTCCCAGCTACTTGGGAGGCTGAGGTGGGAGGACTGCTTGTGTCCAGGAGGTAGAGGCTGCAGTGTGCTATGATGGCACCACTGCACTCCTGCCCAGGCGACAGAGCAAGATCTTGTCTTAAAAAAAAAAAAAAAAAAGCAATTGTTCCTCTCTCTAGGACACTTTGAGGATCTACAAAGGCAGTGTAGTGTAGAGGTTAAGAGCAGAGGCTTTGAAATCTGGCAGGTGTGAGTTACAGCCCCATCTCCGCCACCTCCTGGCTGTGTCACCCTCAGACAAGTTATGTAAACTTCTCAAGTTTTCCCCATCCATAAAATTGGAAACTATTGAGTAGGAGTGTAAGGATTATACAGGATCACGCTCCTCAAGCCCTTAGCGCAGTGCCTAGCATGTGGTGAGCATTCAATCAGCAGTAGCTGCTGCTGTTATTCACTGTGGGGTTATCGTTACACCCCCAGCCTAAAGGGTACTGCATGGAACACTGTGGCTCCCTATGGCTACAAGAAGCTGCCTCTGTGCTTCCTCTGGGTCCTTTGACTCCCTAAGGGTCAGCCAAGCCACTCCCAGCCCTGGAAAGCAGAGGGCCTTTGCTTTTTCTGCAAGACCCAAAGCTGCTTACAGTTAATGATTTTAAAAAACAGGAGGAGCCTCAAACTGGGACAGGATTCCAAGGAGCCAGGGGGAAGCATATAAGGGGCCTGCATGGACTCAAGAAATGTGCCAACTACCAACCAACGACCACAGGGGAGGGGAGGGGACAGGAGAGAAGGGAAGCTGGAGACAGCTAAGTTGACAAGAAGTGAGTACTATGTAAGGAGTTAGTTTCTGTTGGGTGGGGCTGCACCAAGCTTTCCATAACTAGAAAGATGCCAAGAGCAATCCAAGAAGGGCATGGTTAGTGCCAGGAGGCCCAGCCCAGAATCCCAGGCTGCACTAAGCAGACAGCTCTTCTGTTGGGCTGGACCAGTTTTTAGACTAGGTCCATAATAAGAGCACATTTTCACACTGAAAGGGGTGGGCTGTGAGGGTGGAGGAGCCTCTCAGCAGCCCACTTTGTCAGAACTGGCTCCCAGATAGCCCCTTCACACAGCTTTAGCTCTCACTCCCATCAGTGCCATTGGATCCTCTGAGGGCAAGCAACAGGGCTAGTGCCGGTGAATGCCATGTGGCAAGTTCATTACCCTCACACATCTCACCCCACACACTCCCAGTGGAGAACTCTTAACAGACAGCCCATACGCCATCATTCAGTGAGAGTGGGCATATTTTCTGCCCCAGGGGGCCCCCTGAAGACAGCTGAGGCTGGGTGCAGTGGTTCACACCTGCAATCGCAGCACTTTGGGAGGCCGAAGTGGGCGGCTCTCTCGAGCCCAGGAGTTTGAGACCAGACTGAGCAACATGGCAAAACCCCACCTCAACAACAAGAAAAATACAAAAATGAGCCCGGCATGGTGGCGTCAGCCTGTGGTCTCAGCTACTCAGCAGGCTGAGGTGGGAGGATCACCTGAGCCCAGGAGGTCGAGGCTGCAGTCAGCCATGATCTCGCCATTGCACTCCAGCCTGGGTAACAGAGCAAGACCCTATCTTGGCCGGCGCGGTGGCTCACGCCTGTAATCCCACCACTTTGGGAGGCCGAGGCGGGCGGATCACGAGGTCAGGAGATGGAGACCATCCTGGTTAACACGGTGAAACTCCGTCTCTACTAAAAATTCCAAAAATTAGCCAGGAGTGGTGGCGGGCGCCTGTAGTCCCAGCTACTTGGGAGGCTGAGGCAGGAGAATGGCGGGAACCCGGGAGGCGGGGCTTGCAGTAAGCTGAGATCGCGCCACTGCACTCCAGCCTGGGCGACAGAGCGAGACTCCGTCTCAAAAAAATAAATAAATAAATAAAAATTTAAAAAAAGCTGAGCCTCATGAGTGGTTCACATCACTCAAGGCTTTGTTCTACATTCACCCCTTCCTGCTTCTTCTTCCCATTTCAATCCCTTCTCTTTATTAAAGCAAACAAAGTAAGATGCAAGATTCCCACTGCTAGTTCTTGGTCCCCAATGCTGCAGGGGAGTCAGGGACATGAGAACTAACACGCTTTCTTAACGGAGCCTCCAATGTAGCAGGCATCGGAAATTGAGGTGGACTCAGAGTTGAGGTTTCCTGAGCCAATTGTTATCATCCCTGGCTGCCTCTTCCGGCCTCCAACAAATTCAGCACCATGAAGCTTCAAGTGCTCCAAAGCCAAAAGCAGAGGAAATGAATTTTCAAACTGAAGACAGTGGAAGGTAGTGGAAAGAGCTTCACACCTTATTCCTAAAGATTTACTCCATTGCCAACAACTTACCAAACACCTCCCATGTCCCGCCATTATCTCCCACCTAGCACAGTGCTGTAAAGAGCCCTAAAAGGCAGAAGAAAGAATCTTCTTTTTTTTTTTTTTTTTTTGTCGCCCAGGCTGGAGTGCAGTGGCGCGATCTCGGCTCACTGCAAGCCCTGCCTCCCGGGTTCAAGCGATTCTCCTGCCTCAGCCTCCCGAGTAGCTGGGACTACAGGCGCCCGCCACCTCGCCCGGCTAGTTTTTTGTATTTTTTATTAGAGATGGGGTTTCACCGTGTTAGCCAGGATGGTCTTGATCTCCTGACCTCGTGATCCACCCATCTCGGCCTCCCAAAGTGCTGGGATTACAGGCTTGAGCCACCGCGCCCGGCCAAGAAAGAATTTTCTAAGCCCTAAGAAGCAGTAGTATGGACTTCATTTCCTAAGCAATGGGATTTGGAGGATTTTGAGTGATTTGAGCAGGGAGGGCCATGACACAGGGAGTGTTTTTAAAAGACCACTCCAGCTGCAGGGTGTTTGCTTGATTGGACGGACAGAGAGACTAGGAGCAGGAAGACATAGGAGGAGATGACTCCAATAATGTTGAGCCAGCAGAGTGACATCCAGGCATTGTGACAATAAATGCTTGTTGGTGTGAACCGACCTGACTTGGGGCTCAAAGAGAAGGAACAAATTTGAGAGATGTCTTAAAGAAGGGATGAGCCTCTGCCGGGCGCGGTGGCTCACGCCTGTAATCCCAGCACTTTGGGAGGCTGAGGAGGGCAGATCACGAGGTCAGGAGTTCAAAACCAGCCTGGCCAACATGGTGAAACCCCATCTCTACTAAAAATGCAAAAATTAGCCGGGCGTGGTGGCGGGAGCCTGTAATCCCAGCCACTCAGGAAGCTGAGGCAGGAAAATCCTCAAACCCAGGAGGCGGAGTTTACAGTGAGCCGAGATTGTACCACTGCACTCCAGCCAGCCTGGGGGACAGAGAGAGACTCTGTCTCAAAAATAAAGAAATTAATTAACTAAAAAAGAAGGAATGAACCTCAAGGAGTGATTGGGCAAAGGGAGCAATCGCAAGGGTCTAAGCCCGGGAGCTCAGACTGACAGCACTATGGAGAGACACAGGAAAGCCAGGAAAAGATGCTTGTTTAGTGGGGATGACAAGGAGTCTGGTTTTAAATTAGCTGTTACTAAAAAAAATTACATTTATCAGATTTTTTATTTTGTGGAAGTAATCAATGTTCTCTGTAGAAATTTTAGAATATACAGATAATAATAAAGGAGAAAATAAAAATCAACCATAGTATCACTCTCCAGAGATAAACACTGTTAATTTTATTTATTTATTTTTTCAAGACGGAGTTTCACTCTTGTTGTCCAGGCTGGAGTGCAGTGGCACAATCTCGGCCCACGGGTTCAAGCGATTCTCCTGCTTCAGCCTCCAGAGTAGCTGGGACTACAGGCGTGCACCAGCACGCCCAGCTCATTTTTGTATTTTTAGTAGATATGCGGTTTCACCGTGTTGGCCAGGCTAGTCTTGAACTCCTGACCTCAAATGATCTAGTCACCTCAGCCTTCCAAAGTGCTGGGATTACAGGAGTGAGCCACCATGCCCAGCCACTGGTGACTCTTAGAATCCTTATTTCTTTTGTATCTGTTACCCAGGGTCCAATACACCTAAATTAACTGAGGAGTTTGG